AAACTCCGCATTTGAACAGTCAATAGCAAATACTTAAACTAATAACAAAACATACTTACAGTCACTGATTCAGAAGCGCCAGATTGTCATAGCAAAGTCGGAATTTACCCTTTTTTTTTTTAGCCTTTGTGCACAGCCAGCCTTGTACTTTTCTAGGTTCAAAAAACTGTTGTCCATAAAATGCGTTGCACAAATTCGAACATCTGGGTTGTGCTGTTCTGTTGTAAATAAATCTTAACCAATGATTCCTAATTGCATCTACACTGAAAAAGATTTGTTGGATTTACTCAATTGAATTATGGACATTGGTTCCACACATTCAGATTGAGTTCAGAGTGTCCTACGCATTTATGTGGTTTTATTATAATACTTTTGTGTTAATCAGATGTATTTTCAAAAAGTAATGTGTACAGTCTTTTCAAGTTATCCTAACATAATTCAGTTATGTTAGCTTAACATTATTATTTTAGATATATGCTTTGATCATGTTAATTCTGTGCAATTAAATCAAGTTATCTTAACATAATTATAATAACTTCACTAAAATTAAATTTTAATACAAATTTTAATGGTTTGTGGTCGCATGTTTCATTTAATTTAATTTTCAATAACACAAAAACCTTCTGTAAATCCTTTATTTAATCATTTGAACAATGCGTCATTTAAATGACGTCTAAACATTGTGCTTTCAAAAAGCATAAATAACTTATCTGATGATTAAATGTAATAAAACTACATATTAGTTTTAATGACTAGTATAAAAACAAAGACAATTACTGTTGTATGCATAACATATAGTGCACCAATATATGTAAAACTTCATAAGAACTTTTGTAAACAAGATCATAAACATAAGTAACGTTACACTGCATGTAACTGTGTGTTTAAAAACGATAAAACATTGTAACACTAATCATTTAATTAATTTCTCTCAGAAACCTTAAAACTGTACCCAAGAACTCCAGTACCTGGAACTGTTATTTCAAGAAAAACGCTTTCGTTTCAAAGATATTTATATATGGATTCATTACAAAATCTACTAGCAGTCTATGCTGAAGATCATAGCTTGAATATTTTTTATCATCATCATCATCATTTGTCCCGGAGCATTTTTAGAAGACTTGCTCCTAAAAGTCAGCCAAAATGTACTCTTCTGTCATTTTCTCCAAGAGCACTGTCTATATTTGTAATCCTCCTCTTCATGTTTTAATAACTGAAATGTATGTAAAAAATTATGTTGACATACAGTATCTGACCCTTACCCAAACTATAAACAGTGTATCTTATTTATGCTAGTTCATCCATGTGTCATAGATTCAGCTCTCTAATCAATCAACTTTTGAGCCAGTCCAAAGAAGGGCCAAATTCAGACAAAAAGGGATAAAGAAACAAGAGTAGGCAAAGTGGAACAGTCTAAACAACGAGATCACTGTTTACCCTCTGCAGTGGTGTCTTGCATGAAGGCTGCTGGAATTTTCTTGGGTTGATCGTTTATAGTCTCAGCAGTCATTCAAAAAGCGGTCCATCTCACTGATGGAGTTTAGATTTGAAATTTTGGGACCTTGATAGAGAGTTCACCTACATCCGACTCCATGATGTAATTTCAAAAGTAAAACGCAACTTTGTGGGGTACTGCAGGTTAAGAGCATAAATTAGACCGAACAACATTGACGTTGCAAAAGCCACACTGTCAAGGTCCTGAAGCACTGCCACACCCTCTAGCACAATTCCCACATCATGGGCTTCATTGTCTGCAGTGTCCTTTATCACGAAGATGCCCATGGTGGTCTTCTCAATGGCACTCTGTAAAAGATCTTCTTCCATGTCCTAAAGACAGAAAACAAGATGAATATGTATTTAACACATGAACAAGAAATATGAAGGGTAGCTTTTTTTGTAACTTACTAGGCAAGTAATTTTTAGAAAAATGCCAATGCTTGCGGTGACCTCAATCTTCTATCCACATTATTAAGCAAGTCACAGTTCTTATGTAATATGGTGAGGAAGAAAGATCTTTCTCAAGATGAAAAGCATGAAACAATGCAATGTCTTGCAAAAGGCATCAAAACAAACAATATTTAGCAAATAGAGATTATTGAACTGTC